TTAGAATTATATTTTACTTATACTCCCTCCGTTTTATGTGGCACTTTTCGGATTTCGAGATTCAAACAAGTCTATTTTTGACCGTAAGTTTTTCATACATCTTTTAAACATTCTGAATTATCAATTATTGTGACTTATAGTACTTTTTATGTAGTTTACAAATATATAAATTTCATTTCAAAAAAATTAAAGATTCCATGCGCAAATTGCTGGTCAAACTTAAATTGTTTGACTTTTGAAAAACGAAAAGTGTCACGTAAATTGAGACAGAGAGTATTTGTTTTTGAAAGTTCATTTAATATGCATAAATATCAAAATATAATAAACTACCTTTTTAAAAATTTGAAACACATAAGCTTAAAATCTTAATTCTAGCTACATATGAAAACGAGTAGTTATTCGTCTATCCGCATTTTTGTTTTAGTGCTATATTAGGTCTCCGATTAAGTTCGATTTACATACTTGTTTTTTTTATATACTTTATTTGAGTTGAGACTTGAGAGTCTATCACAAATAGTCTCCTTACATGTTTCACTTTTTTCAAACCCCACTTACGAAATTATATTGAATACGTTATATATAGTTGTTTGTTGTGCATGAGTTGATCATCATTGTTTCTAGCTAGCTAACTTGTGCTTACCAACAGTTTAGAAAAATGTTCATATATGCCTCTTTTTTAACTAAATCCAAAGAATACAATTTTGTACATATGTTAATTTATTGCATTTTCCAAGTTAATGATGAGTTCTTCCCCCCCAACCTCACCAAATCAAAAGATACAGTTGTTCTTTTTTTGTTGTTAACCATTTAAATCAAAGGATACAGTTGTTCTTTTTTTGTTCTTAATCATGTAAATGAACTGGTAGGAACTAGGAAGCAAAGAACAAGAGATAGAACACTTTCTCGTATAGATTGGAGTCAGAATTTGAAATTTATGAGTTCAAAAATTTAGTTCCGTTGAATTACTTGGGTTTGAAACTAATAAGTTGTAATTATTAAATAAACTTTTAAATTATTGAGTTCTGCTTGAACCTGTTTCCTGTACTCTGGTAGGTATATATTCACCCGAATCCTTTCGGCAAAAAATATATGATAAATACAAGGTATATTTTTCTATGTATATGTATATATATAAATTTTGAAACCCGTAAACAATATGCAAATTAAAAGGTTAGCTCAACGGTTAAGGGCATTCAAATTGCACCCCTAACCTCTAAGATTGATTTTTATGTACTACATTATATTTTACATATTTATTTTTCGAACTCTTTAAATGAAAATTCTGAATTCGCCACTAAAATTAAAATATGAATTTTGTAAGTATTAGTAACAGTATTTGTTCGTACATACAATAATTTATTGCGTCAGCAATATTGATGTTGTTCACATGCATTGGCTTTCCTTTCTATATAATGGAAAAAATGTCTCAACATAATCCATTACTTTATATTATGGTATTTTTTGTTTTTGAGAGGAAAAAAACAATAGAAAAATGATGAGTTGTTGGTTTTCATCAATTGTGGTTTGGTTTATTTTAATTATTATTATTATAACAACTTGTAATAATTTGGTGGAAAGCAAATGTGCATTTGAAGCAATTTTTAATTTTGGAGATTCAAATACTGATACTGGTGGATTTAATGCTGCATTTCCATCTCAAGGGCCTCCTTATGGAATGACTTATTTTAAAAGACCAACTGGAAGGGCAACTGATGGAAGAGTCATTGTTGATTTTCTTGGTATGGTTTTCATCTAATTTCATTTATATTTGAGTCGAGGATCTTTCGAGACAAACTCTTTATCTGTTATAGGAGTAAAATCTGCGTACATTATACTTTATAGTTGGAAAGTATTTTGGTTTAGACTTTCTATTTTTGCTCTTGAGAAGTGATTTTTAAAGTTACATAAATGAGTTTTATAATTAATGCATTCAATTTTGACATATTTATGATCATAATTAAGTTCCAAAAATCTTTATTTCTTTTGTAAATAGTGTTAAGTACTCAAACTATATTTTATAAAAAGATGTGTTTGGTATAACAAAAAATGCTTTTTAATTTTTTTTTCTTGTGTTGGGTTGATTAAAATATTTTTTTGTGTCATCTTTATCGATTAGTAGATAACTTATTTTATTTTCGACACTACAAATTCCACATTTAAAAAGAAAGCATACGTATAGATATCCTTTGAGCAATTGATAGTGTACATTTTATTTTAAAAAAAAAAGGGGTATATAACATAAATTATTTATTTAGATTAATTAAAGGGCAGTGATGTGCACATATCATTTTGGTTCATGCAAGGGAAGGATCGTATCCTAAGGGCTTAGGGTGTTATGTAGACAATTTATTATTTTTTATGTCTCAATTTATGTAATTCACTTTTTTTTAGTGAGTCCCAAATAGATTGACACATCTATATATTTAGTAACTTTTTAATTTTAAAATGTCCTATTTACCCTTAATGAAATAATTTTTACTCATACAAATATTATCACACTTATTTTAGATCACAAGTTTCAATTATTTTTTTCTTTCTTAAACACTGTGTCGTGAAGTCAAACTTCATCATATAAAGTGGGACGGAGGGAATATAATGCAAGGGTTAGTGCTTGCTTGCTCTATTCCATTATCTATAATTCACACATAGATTAGTAAAGGGTAGCTCGATACACAAATCAGCATGCGTTCATGTAGAGTTCGGAGAAGGATCGCACCAAAAATGATGTAATGTAGATAGCTTACCCAAGTGTGTATATCTATATATATGCCCATTTCTCCAAGTTATCATCACCAATGTCATCTTTTTCTTACTATTCCTTAAATGACAAAAAAACATATTATTGTGACCAGAGTTGACAAAAAAGGCTTAGCTGTAAAAAGTAAAGTAGTTGGTCCATATAAAGGTGTAATTATTTTTTGTTTTGTCCATAGGTTTACCTTTCTTTGTCCTATTAGTAGAAATTTATACATGAGATCAAGTCCGTGACTTTCTTTTGTTTTTTTTTCTCATAACGTTATTGTGCTTTATATATAGGGAAGCGGAGATTTAGAGAAGGCATAATACATAAACGTGTAATTTAATTTGGTCTCAAGTGATATTTATGATCTTTAATTATGGGTGTATATAAATAGATACTTAAATTTGTATAAAATTGAATAATAGACATATTTGTTCTACGTGATGTCCTACATGACAATTTTATGTCCAATGTGGCGGTCTACGTATATTATGTCACGTAGGACGTGTGTGTCTACTTGTTCAATTTTATACAAATTTAAGTGTGCCTAGTTGTGCACACACCAAAAGTTGGAGGGTATAGATGTCCGTTGAATCCAAGTAAAATGGCATATTTATGTTATTATGTCTTTAGGGAACGGTAAAAATGTCTTCGTATAATCTATATGTTATGAGTTCAAGCTGTGAAATCAATTATATATTGATGTTGTATTAAGTAGGTTGCCTACATCAGATCTTGACCATCCTTAATGAAATTTTTGACTTCGACAATTTACAACTCTGCTTGACCATGGCTTATGTGCAGTCTTTCCCCGGACCCTGCTTGAACATTTCTTATGCACCCTACTTGAACATGACTTATATGCGGCCTTTCCCTGAACCCTGCATAGATTACTAAAATTGCTATTAATTAATAGTGTTGTTTGATATGCAGCTCAAGGATTAGGTTTGCCATTTTTGAGTCCATATTTGCAATCAATTGGATCTGATTTCAGACATGGTGCAAACTTTGCAACATCAGCATCCACAGTGCTCATGCCACAAACATCATTGTTTGTATCAGGTGTTAGCCCTTTTTACCTAGGAATTCAACTCCAACAGTTCAAGCTATTTAAGGCTAAAATTGATGAATTTCAGAGTAAAGGTAAAATAAATAATTTACTACTTTATTAGTATTCCATTTTAATTTTTCATAATCTTTATATTATTTTTTCTTAATTTTCAGGTAACACTAATCTGCCTCCCTCAGACATATTTGGGAAATCTCTTTATACATTCTATATAGGTCAGAATGACTTCACTGGTGATTTGGGAAGTAAAGGAATAGGTGGAGTGAAGGAGTACTTACCTCAAGTAGTTTCCCAAATTGTTAGCACAATCAAGGTAATAATAACATTAGAATTAATATACGTTTTGTCTCAGTTTATATGACGTAGTTTGGTTGTGTACTGAGTTTTAGAAAGCAAAAAGAAATTTTTGAAGTTTGTGGTTTTTAAACATGTCATAATATTTGTGTGTCAATAACAACTTTTTATTAAGGGTAAAATGAAAGAAGAAAAAGTAAAGTTAATTAGTTTCAATATAGAAATTGTTGAGTTCCCTACATCGCTTGTGGATAGGAGACTTCTTATATGATCTTGGGCAATGCTCATCTCATGATCTACCTTTTGAATTGAGGTTTACTCAAAGTTCACGGTATCAAACCCTAACCAACTCAAATTGTGGTTTACCCGATGTTTGACCCTCATATTATATTATTCACGCTTCAACTGGATCAGGCCTAAGCATGTTGGAGCTATTGAGTTTCTTACATCAATTATGAATTGGGAACTTGGTTACCTTATGATCTAGCTTTCGAGGTTTAATTTGACTATTGATTTTTCATCAGGAAATCTATGGATTAGGGGGAAGAACATTTTTGGTACTTAACCTTGCACCAATTGGATGTTACCCAGCATTTTTGGTGAAGCTCCCTCATGAAAGTTCTGATATTGATGAGTGTGGATGCTTGATATCATACAACAATGCAGTTGTGGACTATAACAATATGCTTAAAGATGCATTGGCACAAACAAGAAAAGATCTTTCAGATGCAAATGTTATTTATGTGGACACTCATGCTGTCCTCTTAGAACTTTTCCAACACCCCACTTCTCACGGTACGTACTCCAATTGAGCACCTAAACATGTGATCAAATGTTCTTATTAGACACTTCTGACACAAACTATTGAAAAAGATTTTGTGTGTTTATAAGCGTCCATTACACGTAGACAAGTTGACCATTTAAAATAAGACGACTCCTTTAATTATACACATGAGGTTTTATGGCTTATGAAACTAAGGAGTATAATTAAAGGAGGTGAAATTTTTTAAATGGTTTAACTTGTCTACGTATAATGAGCACTTAAGAACATAGACAAAAGGTTTCTCCAAAATTAGAGACTGAAGTATCTGATAGGAATACTTTATCATGCATGTGTTCTGGTGTGGAATCAAACCAAAGTATAATTCGAGTATCTTAAATGAGGTTTACTAACAAGTTGAAGGGGCTATCGATGTATTCCGCCTAAATTTGTTGACCAACTTCTAATGATGTCTGTGTTTGTAGGGTTAAAATATGGAAACAAAGCATGTTGTGGACAAGGAGGTGGTTCTTACAACTTTAACCAGGAAGTATACTGTGGAAATACCAAAGAGGTAAATGGACAAACATTGTCAGCCACAGCCTGTGAGGATCCATACAATTATGTGAGCTGGGATGGGATACATGCCACTGAAGCAGCAAACAAAATTACAGCAAATATCATTCTCAATGATGGTTCTATTTTTGATCCTCCATTTTCACTACATAAATTCTGTGATATTCAGCCTGTAGGTTGATACATCATCCACAAGTTGTTACTAGGAGAAAACGAATAAATAAAGGTCACGTTTAATTAAAATTGACGTTGATAAATGGATGCATTATGTTGTATGTGCAAAGAACAATGGATCAACAGAAACATTCTTTAACACAAACAAGCCAACATCCACAGAGTTTGAACCCACATTTCACTCTTAACACTAGGTCTAAGCTCGACGCACACTGAGCTGCTGTCTCTAGTTAAAAGGGCACCAGAGAAATAGGGACTGAACAAACCAAACACACTAACACATACCTTTCATGGTTCACTTGCATTTGGTTCCCATCGTCTTCAAGTTATTACCCAACCTTTCAACAAATTCTCTTGCGGCACTACATTCTCATTGTAATCTTTTCCAGTTACAAAGTGTAACAACTGCAAAATATTTCAGTAGACGATGGACATCTGAATTTAATTCTTCAGACTCTGCAGCCTAATAATTACAAGAAAACAGAATAGCCCTTGTGGGAGTGAATAATTGCCTCTCTCAAATGAAGAAACACAATCCCAGAAGATTTTAAACTTCCTACTTAGACAAACTTTTTTTATTGTTAAAAAATTAGATGTCCCTATTTGGACAAACTTTCAGAACTCCAAAGTTGATTCCTTTCAAACTCTGTTGTTCATGCATCAGTCAAAATAAACAGCATAGCAACCAAAATAAAAAGAAGGAAGCAAGTCAGATAATTTAAGTCCACTCCTAAAGAAAATTCATCATCCAGCATCACGACACCTTACAAAACTATTCAAAAAGCGGTAGTGATGAATAGAGTCCAAATCCCTAATTATTTTCACCCTAAGAAAGGCAAAAAGTTTAGGCCAGTAACCTATGAAGAAATTAGTTCATCAGCCTCAGGTCCAACTGTAAATCTAGAGGCACTACAAAACCTAAATGCTGGGGTCCTGCAATCGAAGTCTACTCATCCCCATCCTCGATTCCAAGTTTTTCCTGTTCTCAGAAGACAACTTAGAGCACACTGCCAGAAACAGGTAGACATATGTTCTACAATAATCACTCAATGCAAGTACATCAAGTCCCTCTAATGAGATACAGCAACTAATTCAGAAATGTGACGAAACCCAAACATTTCAGAAGTATAACGTAGGCAAACGATCCATCAGCAGATAGCCAGACTACATGCAATAGCTGAATAGAAACGAGCCAGAATATTGCATTCATTTCATGAAAGCACAAATTTTCAGACAGAACTTCGACGCACAAGACTCAATCATACAACTTCAAACGATACACAAAAATACTTTTTCAATGTTCATGGAAAAAGAACGCCACAGAAATATTAGCAAGGTCTATGATAGACCTCAGTAACAACAGTTTTTGAGTTTAGATTAGATTTTGTCGATGTCTTCATCCTCAAACTCAATGTAATCATCACCAGCACCCTCATCCTCTTCATCCAGACCATTAGCAATGCCCTCATTAAGCCTTGTATTCTCTGGTAACTCTCCATATGCCTTCAATAACCTGGCCTCATCAGGCATGTACTTCAAGATCACATCAGCTTTGTCATCCTGGGAAAATCAAAATAACTAGTTAAAAACAGCAATATCCACAATGGATAAGAACCCAAATCTCAACAAAGCAAACCTATAATCAAATAAATTTCCAAGTAAAACAACAACACACCTTAATCCCAAGCCAATTGAGGTCGGCGGTATGAATCATCAATTATTAAATGCTCTGTTTGGGTCTAAAACTATTTCGATACTCCATGCTTATGGAAACACTAGTTGTTCTCTAATATACCCTAGTGGTTATATCTCTAAGTCTAATATACTAAGATCTTACAGTAAGCACTAGTCTTTTAGATAGTATAACCTATACAGATTTTTCAGCTTCCATTGTTTTCTATCTCTTGCTAGATCTTTTGAGAACTTCTTTCTATGTTCAATCATCATGTTTTCACATTTATAAACCAGTGAACCTAGAGGACTAGGTAACACATGATCAAACCATCTCAACATTTTCAATTTATCCTCAGCATGCTACTTGCACCCTCTGATGGATGTGATCATATATGATCTTATCTAATCTTGTATGACCGCATATCCATCTTAATACTCGCATCTCTACAGCATACATCTTGTAGATTTGTTGGACTTAAGATGTGATCTTTCAATTGTTCTATAGAACTTGCTTTCACTTTGATAGATATCTTCCTATAACACTATTGTGACAGTCCATTTCCACCATCCTACTTTAATCGTACGTGTAAAATCTACATCTATCATTTGGTTCTCCTAGAAGGCTAGAACATTGAGCTAAACATCTAAACTGTCAACAATTAGATACCTCAACCCCATCGAATCTCACCTGGACTCCAGTCCTATCTCGTTGGCTGAACTTGCAGTGCATGAAGTTTTGTCCTACTCCCAACTTATCTCAAATCCCTTACTCTCTAAAGTGCTTCTCTATCGCTCGAGCTTTTGAATGACAACCTCACTAGTTCCATCAATTAACAAGGTTTTGCTTGTGAAGAGCATGCAACATGGTACCTCATCCTGTATATCATTGGTTAGCCCATCCCATAACAGGAGTAAATGGACACGAGCTTAGTGCAAAGCCCTAGTGCAAAACCCACAGTAATGTAGAACTGCTCCTGCCAATCCCACCACTTTTTCCCCACTTGTGACAGCTCCCTCGTACATATCCTGTATGCCATTTAAATATTTGACATGAATTCTTTTCTTTTGCATTACCTACCAAAGATACTTCTTCGCACTCTATAGTATGCTATCTCTAAGTCGATATATATCATATGTAAGTCCTTTCTCTACCTATAATTTTCAATCTTTTCAGTAAAAATATAGCCTTTGTTTTAGGCTTATCAGGCACTAATTGCCAAGTAAAACGAGGAAGGAGATCTACATACACAGACTCAATCACACACACCAGTGCCACTTCTCATTGAAAATCAGCAGCAAGTAGCAATTACAAATCTATTTTTCTCTTGAAACAGGTAGATGTATGTCAAGCCAGAAGCAGGAACAGATACATACATACATACATATATCATTTATATATATACACACACATGCACACATACACACACTTGTGGGAATACAAAGGGGCGGATTTAGGGTATGAGATGTGGGATCCCGGAAACAAGTAACTTTTGCACAAACCTTGTATTTATATTGAGAATCCACTATTCATATAATAGTTTATTAGTTGGGAACCCAATATAAAAATGGTATATTGATAGTGGCAAAGGGGAAACCTGTTAAGCTTTGCTGTCCTCTGCAGACTGCAAGGGTTCGAATCCTTTGGGCAACATAATTATCTTGTTTTTTCCCCTTCTTTTATCTTCTTTTAACAAAAACCACGCAAGCCTTCAGTTTGTCTCACTTTTTCTTCATAATTTGAGATTATTGGGAACCATTAAACTCCAAGTCTTAAATCCACCTCAGCTCGCGGACGCGCACACACACACACGTATATACATACACAAACAATCATACATACACTTGGTACTTCCTTGAGATAGCATGTCCATACTACTACAAAGTAGTAGGTGCACCATACCCAATAACTTAAAATCCTCGGGACTTTATGCCCCCCTTCAATAAAAAAAATATGGAATCAATAGTTCTATCCTGATACAAAGGAGGCTATTTTTGTATATCATCCCATTTATCCATTTATGCAAGGCGATCAAAGTTTTACACTTCAGAATAGAAACTACCAAAAAGAAAACATCTTTGTAACACCAAATTTACACCTTGTTGGTGAGGGTTTGATCCTCAAGCTTGTAATCCCCTACACCAATTCTTTTTTTAAAAGACCAAATTTCATTTCTTAAAGAAAAACACAACAAATTTCTCAAAACAGATGAAAAACACAAATAGAAGAAAAGGGTATCGGAAAAATTGGATCTTGCCTGATAGTCACGGAGGCCAACAAGGATGATATCACCAGCAGCGATCCATACTTTCTTATGCATCTTACCACGTATGTGACTAAGACGCTTAGTTCCATCAATACACATAGCTTCACAACGTCCATTACCAAGCATACGAAGGACCTGAGCATATTCCTGTCCGTCTTCTTTGAAAACAAGCTCTCTTTTCTCATCGTCGGCTTCGTTCTTTCCTCTCTTCCTGTTCTTACCTCCCTTACCCTTGTTCTTCGGCATGGTTGTTTGATTGAATCGCTTCTCTCAAACTTCGATTGGAGAAGGAAGAAACCCTAAATTGGAAAAAGGGGGGCGTTCTTGTTCCTTTTTATCTGAATGATTTTTTTTTTGTTGTCTTGATTTGAAATGTTATGAGCTAGCGTTGAAGCCACGAGAGCCATGGTGTCACTTAGACCATTTTACCCTTGTACACGTGTATAGTGTCACAAAGGAGCACAATTTTTTTTTCCGGTGTCCGGTACATGAATTGTTGCCCAACTAATTCAAATTCACGCGTCACAAAGGATTTTCCTTCTAAATATGCATAATGAAGGGATTAGTACAACACAATTTAGTAATACA